TAAGAATAAACATGTGAGGAAAGGTCTCCAATTGATCCACGCCATGTTCAATAATATTTTGTTCATATGCTAGGGACAATGCTCTAAGAGAGTTTAAGCTGATGTAACTTACTTCGACTGTTATAATAATTTTATTGATTTTTACACCTAGCATAAGGTATATACGGAAGAATTGAACAACGGAATTTTCATCTGAAATTTTGCGCATATATAGTTCTTGTGGTCATTGGAACATTCTTAAAGTTTCATTGGACAAAATGTTTCCTTGTTAAGATGCTCAATTTAAAAAAAAAGTGAATCTGTCAGAATTTTATAAATTATGAGGTAAATCTTTAAGAGTCAATATCTCTGCTGAAACTTTTAGAGAATTTCAATGATGATAAGACATACATATGAGCGAAATTTCAGATTGAAATTCCATTCTTCAAATTTTCTGTATATAGCTTGTGTTAAATAGAAAAATCAATAAAATGGTGATTACATTCGAAGTAAGTCCTGTCAACTCAAACTCTCTTAGAATAATGTCCCCAAGATATGGATAAAATTTCAGAGAAAACGGTGTGAATCAGTTGGAAACCTTTCCTCATTAGTGTATCACAAATGAAAAATGTTAAAAGAAAACGTATAATATATTGAGATGGTTTAGAATAGTTAAGATTGACCAAAAATTTTGATAAAAGCAAATGAAAACCAAGAAATATTTTTAATTTAATTTTGTTAAATATTCAAAATAGTTGTCACGATTACTTATGCGACAATCAATTCGTTCTAACAATTATTTAAAAGTTTTTTTTTTGAATTATTTTGAAAACTATATAAGCAAATCATGTTTTATTAGTTTAATCAATGAACCTATCTTCAATGCAATTACTTAGTCAAAGATTAAATTTTATCAAGTTTGGTGAGTATGGTGGATACGACATTGCAATTAATGTTTTCTTCTGTTTAATAACTAATAACATAGGATGAATATGAAGTCAACGATGATTCACAAGTAATTATGTATTTTTCTCACTTGATGTCTCTATGTGTTTTCATCTTTCGTTAACAAAAGACTTCAGATAATTTTTGACATATTAGTTTTAATCTATTATCTTGTCCTTATCTACATGAGGTATAAGAATAAGATCATGTGCTTTAAAGAATATACAAAATAAATTTTTCGATTAAAAATTATTCTGAATCATCACCTGGCTTCGCAGTGGTTTTATAGTGGACTATATTTCAAGCTTTTTTCCTATACGTATTCCTGTATTCTTTTTTGTAAAACTGAAGATTCTTTTGAAAAGAGCTACATATCCCTTAAAAGATTGTCTTGTACATAGTACAAATATTGTTATTAGTATCTAGAACATTATACATACATGGTAACGACAACATGTTCATATGTATGTGGTGGTCAAAACTAAAATTCAGTCAAGTTTAAAATTTGCTCAGTCAAAATTAAAATTTCAATTTTGACTGAGCCGAATAAAGTTTTTTTGATGAACAGAAAAAGGCAATGACAGGCAAAAAATTTAAGTAGCGACAATATTTCTTTTTTTTACAAAATTTATTAGCAAATATCATCTGAGAGTGTGAGTGTAATAGGGACCTCGCTCTTATCCACATACACGTCCAAAACCAAACAATCACACACCAGAGACAATTCATACTCACATCCGATCCTTCCAGACTAGAAGTATAATAAACTTGAAGTCTTGGGATTTGTTATTATTTAGTTCGGGTTTGAGATTAGAATTGGATTTGTATTTGATTTCAAATGACCTACATCTCAAAAGATTTCGTAAAATAAGGTGACATCAAGAATAATTTACTTTAGTGCAGGTACGGCACACCCTTTTCTGTTCACCAAAAAACAAATTTAAATTTTGACTCGGTGAATTTATAATTTGACTGAATATTAATTTTGACCATAACATAAGTATTTTGATGATATATTTTCAAGTGTGTTAAATACTATAATAATATTGAGAAAAAATATAGTTTATATTGTATAAATCAAAAAATAAAAAGCTTTTTGTGATCTTTATTCAATTTGATTTTGTCTATATTTATGTGAATCCACATATGTAGAACCGTTTCAAATAAATCGAACATGCATTAACCTTGTTGTTTGTTTTTTTTTAGAAAAAAAATTCATATTTCACTGTTTTCCACAACTCACAGATATTTTTCATCTAATTCATTCGATACACATGGAAAGAAGTCGTCTGTAGTCTACAAAGTTGTTACAGCGTTTTTCAGAACTCTAGAGATTTTTCGTAGTGGAAATTAGTGTCCTATATGGTTGAAGAGAATTCTATATAAATGGCACTTTTCAATTCCTATATTTTCGCTAAGTGCCACAACGAAGCCAGTCCGCATATGGGAACGGTTCGAATTTAAAAGTAACGAAAGCTGAGTCTATTATTGAAAGAAGCACAATCGATAGTATTTGAAATAGAAGCGTTTCTATTCCTGTGCAGCGATGAATACTCTGGACACGAAAAATCTTTTTTTTTCAAGTGAAACACTTGAAAATTTGTGCAAAACATGGCAAAGGTATATATCTTTAAATAAGCATCGATCATTAGAAAACAAAAACTCTTCAATTAGACATTAATCGATAGAATGCAACGTATTCTTTCAACATATGGTCTTTGTAAAAATGTTAGATGTCTACGAACCAAGATAATACATTCAAAGTTATATTGGCAATTTTCGCAAAAAAAAATGATGTCTCTAGATAGAACTCAACAAGCTCTACAGAACACATTCATTTTGAGCATAGTTTGATTTAATATTTACATCTATTTTCTAGAAATACTGCATTATAGAATTTCATTAGTAGTCGAAAATCCAGGTTTTTTTAGACTATTAAGCATTTTGCACTGTTTTTGTTCATAATTGTGTACAGATTTGGAATTCTTATTGAATTCCGAAATAAATGAAGTATTTGGTTTGGTTTATCAAAATTTCAACATTGATTTTTCTCGAGAAAGGTGGAAAATTTTTTCGTTTAGTTCAAGTAAAAATACATCATTTCGTACAGAATCTGATGCTAGTGACGAATATCTCGTTGTTTTTGACTTTTTTTTTGCTTTTATCCTAATCCAAATTGTAATTTTCAGAAGAAGGATGAAATGACGTCACGAACACTATTTTTAGTTTGTTATTGGATATAGTTATGCTTGATATACAATGACCTGATATTTTGAAAGCTTGTTAAAAACTGAACAACTTTTATATAGAAAGTTTATTTGTATATCACTTCGTTTCGTAGTCAAATGTTAAACTCTCAGCTCTGCTAAAAAAAAGTTTTCATTTTTTTCAAATTCCATAACGGTCGACACTTTTTGAATAGCTCAGCTCTAACTAAAGGAAAATCAATAAAATTTTTACTTATAGTAGGTCAAAATAGTCTGTATCTATGATAAACGTTTGAAAGAATTTGCTTCTGCCATTGACGAGAAATAGATATTGCAATATTAAAAAAAAAATGAAATTCCGTAACATTTAGACACTCCATGCAGCAAACAAGCGTACGCATGATGTTTTATTAGAAACAGAAAAGAACTCATACGATCTCTTCGTTATTCAATCGAGCAAATGGACTCACAATCTATGTTCAATCATCATTGTTTTGACATAGAGATCTTCTAACTGAAATATTACATTCAACTGATTGATATTTTACATATATTAACCTTATAATATGAATTTAAGTATGTAGTTTGATTAAGTTACTACCATCAACATGTAATTCATCATTTCTTTGAACAGTCATGGAAACAAGTATAGTTACGCTTATTAATCATCAAAAGAAAAAAACAAAAAGCTTTCATTGGTGAATATACCCTGCGGGACATATTTGCTATGGTTGTAACATGAAATATATGCTTTTCTTGTTGTTGCTGACTTTGATAATTTATATTATATTTTTTAATCAATATATTGAAAATTGTTTTTTTATATGTAAATTGCCTGTTATTGGTTTACATTGACAATTCGACAGGATTTTGTTAAAAAATCTAAATGAGTCATCAGTTGCCATACAACATTTTAACAACGTCTTCTTTTCCTTTTCTTCTTTTTTTTTTTGAACGTTAAGTTGTAATAATTTGTTTGTGCTTGAAAACATATGGCATCGACTACAACAAATCAAACTTCAGCTCTTACTTCTTTAGCCGGTAACTATTGTATCCAATTCTTCTTACATTAAAGATTTACGTGTTTTTCAGAGATTGAAGAATCTCTTCGTCAAATATCGACATCAGATTTCACTGCACTTCAATCATATTCTAAACCACCATTAGCTTGTCTCGCTATATTCGAAGGTGTTGGTGTTTTACTCGATCCATCGAAACAAACATGGGAATGGACAGACGATAAAAAACTAATGTCAGGAAGCAAAAATGGCTTTTTACAACGTTTATTTAACGTTGACAAGGATAATATCAATAATGAGCAATTAGAAAGACTCAAATCAATTTTGGCTCGAAATGATTGTCAACCAGTTGAGTTAGCTAACATATCGTCATTATGTTCTAAATTAGGCTTATGGCTTCGAACAATCCTAGAATATGCAACACAACGGCAACAATCTAATTAATAGCACAAATTAATTAGCTTACTCATATTTATATTGACTATCTTTAACAAACATTCTATCTTAAGTTTTTTTTTCGCAAATGAAAAATAAATTAAACATTTATAGCATATTATCAAAAGGTCTCGATGGATACAGTTGACGAGTGCGATAGATGTCTCTGTGATATTATAAAGAGAAAAGACATGTATTATAAGAATTAAGTTACAAAAAAAAGGAAATATGTGACACTTCTTTTTTTCTTATAATTTCTGATGAAATACTGCCTTGTCAATTTTATATTAGTTGTAGCAGTACATTGCATCAGCAACGTGTTGGTAGTATACTCTCTTCCGTGTATTTAGTGTTTTTGTGTAATTATAGTTACGAATACATGCGTAATAATTTCGACTATATAAAAAAACCGTGAATGCAAAGTAAAAAGCCATTTCACAAGCGTTAATAACTGATCATTTATTCGACACTCAGTTTTTGTGTATATAATCAACTGAGCCACTTCTATCAAATTTACTTTTAACATAATATAAGTAATTTAAGAGATTATAATATAGTATAGTTTTATACAAATTTCTATTTTAGTGTTTCGTGGACGCGGTCGTGGAGGAAATCGTGGTCAATTTATTTCTCGTGGTGGTTACGGTGGAGGCGCACAAATAGTACGTTCGAGTTCCATGGATATTGATCAACAAACACCATCAGTCAATCTTGTAGCCGATCTTGACATTAATGCTGATCCAAAACTATTCTTTATCAATGCAAATGTCACTATAGATCAACATATCCAAGCACAAACAATAAACCTGCCTCGATATTTAGCTACATTATTCACACTTGATGAAAACAGTGTTGAAATTGGTCAAAAAGCTAAAGCATGTATATTAGCTGCTGCTTGGTGTCGACATGATCATAAATTAGCTAATAATCTTTTACGTCATCGACGTTTATTCACTCTGACTGAAGTACTTAAAGCAGTAACAATGTTAGATGCTGGTCGACAAATTCGTGTTTATGAAAAACAACTTAAACGCCTTGAATTATGTCAAACAAAACCAAAAGCAACAAAATTAGGTAAAATTAAAAATAATATCGATAATTTAAAGAAACTCACAACATCAACTGGATCAGCTAGTGGTGCTGTAGCTCGACATATTCAACGTTGGACTCGAACATTGACTCAACAAGAACTTGAATATTTTGCATTACATATGCCAACAGAACCATGGAAAAAATTAGCTGATATTGTTCATTTTAATCCAAATAAAGATTTTCCTGCTTTACCATGGTTTTTACCGTTTTGTTTTGGTACGCCAGCACCAACTGAAACAATGGTATCACGTTGTCGAGAATTAACAAATGAAAATATAAATACTTTAATTAAAGAATTTAAAATTCCTTATTCACATTTAAAACAATATAAAGATCACTTAAATGATGAATCAAAAGCAAGAATAGCATCTTATGAAGCAAAATTAGATACAATTTTATGGTATTATGAAGATTTACAATGTACAGATGCTGATGATATTATAAGTGAAAGATTAAAAAATGGTGAACAGATCACTTTACCATATGGTAAACTTATGGAACGTGTTTTACTTCTTCGAACACTACGAGATAATACAACTCAAACAACAGTCTTCGAGTATTCTAGACGAAGACGCACGCAAATCACTAGAAATGTTGATGATCAACATTCAGTACAATTTAGTAAATGTAAATTATATTCTGATCTGTTATTAATTGCTGAAGCTCAACTTGAAAAAATTAAATTATCATTAGAATCACCTGTAGCTGTCATGGGTGATGCATCAGGTTCAATGCAAGTTGCTATTCGTACAGCAACTATTCTTTCATCATTATTAACAGCAGTTTGTTCAGCTAAATTGAATTTTTTCAATACTGAAATGTTTTTACCAACATTTACACCAAAAACTATTGAAGATGTTCTTACATTAGCATTGACAACAACAGCTGGTGGTGGTACAGCAAATGCTGCTGGTCTAGTATCATATTATGATAATAAAGATGTGATTAAAACATTTGTTATGGTAACGGACGAAGAAGAGAATGCAGATGCTCGAATAGCTGATGGTACATCAACACGGTTCTTTGATTTATTTATGAAATATCGTACTGAAATTTATCCAGCTAAATTAGTATTTATTTCATTCCTTTCTCATCAACATGCTCGAGGTCAAATGTATTCAGAATTTCAAAGTGCAAATGTACCGGATGTAATTCAAGTAAGTTGAATAAATAATTATGGATATTTTATATTTTGATTTACTTTTGTTTAGTTTGTATTCAGTGGACATCGTCCAGATTTGACAAAACTTGATAATCTGTTGGGTTTATTATCGACTGTTTCGTCAGATTCATTTGATGATCAAGTAGGAAAATTACAAAATGAATTCCAACAGAAAGATGTTGAATCAGTTATGATGCATTTACTTAATAAACAAAAGGAAAATTCTCTTCCAATGGAAGCAGAAATGACTGCGATAGCATCGAACTAATTGTAGAGTGTGTATTAATAATTTTGTTGTTTTTTTCTTTAATTTTTTTTAACTAAAATAAAGTATACATGATTGTTATTTTGCAATATTCTTTGTTTATTTAATAACAAGGATAAATCACGAGTTCAATACGAATCAAAATATAAATTATTATATGAATTAGTTTAAAATTTGTTACTTTCAATGACATAAATAACTTTTTAATGAAAAAAAATATCCAAGTGTAAGACATAGTCACATATCATCGGTATAATTAAAGAGAATATGTAAATATCAAATAAATATAAAGAAAATGGCTGACGATGGAAGTATCCAAACTGTTTCCTCGCTTTTGAGCTGATCTTTTGGTTAAAAAAAGGTTCGGGAAGCCTAGGGCAGCCTTAACATTTTTTATGTCGCTGACTTGTTAGTCAATTGCTACTGCCATTTTAGTGAATGTTCTGCTGAGAGCATGGTATCTATAGCAAAATGAAATAAAGGAATATGTATTTCGATCTAAAATTCTATTCATAAACTAGTCTCTTGATTTCTAGAATACACCGTTATTTTCAATAAAAACGGATGATTCCTTCTCAAGCTACTAGATTTATAAGAATGTCTTTCTATAAGAGACAGATCACAATCATCGGCCTTTCCTAGAAATTCAACATCTCGAGAAGGAGTCATCAATTTTGACTGAAACTAAGGCATGTTCAGACTTTTAAAAAAAGGAAATTTCTGAGATTACTAACACATGAGAAGGTAATATTTTGCAAATTTCGGTAATTATTAGATGCATATTGATGAAATTTCGGTATCTACTAGGGCGTGAGTGAAAAGAATATCCAGACCCACACCATCTGCATATGTGTGCCCTATCCACATTATTGAAAAGCATTCGACTTTGTTTTCTTTTGAAGAAAATTGCAGAATAAACTCACTTCTAGTGTTTACACATTTATTCTATTCACTTTTCAGAAAAACTGTTACTTGCACTAATCACTTTAGGCTTTCTTTTTCTAAGCTACAACTTTTCTACGGCACATCTTTGCATAGTTGACATAGAGCAATCATATGCTCGCAGCGATTAAGCAGCCTGACTTCAAGAATCGTACGACTTCTATTCTTCTTCCGATCATGTAGCAGAGAAACGCGATTGTTAATTTATATTATTGCAGATTTCTTGAAGAATTGTCTTTTGCAAATATCGAATCGTAACAAGACAAGTAAACAGAAGAAGTCAACAATCGAGTGTGGCTTTGGTGAGAGATGTTCTCGTCGTAACTGTTCATTCAAACATCCCGAGAGTTGGAATCTTGAGGCGAACCAACGGAAAGTTGAGCAAGAACAACCCGAGAATCTCGTTCGTCTCGAGCAGCAGCAAATAGAGATGATTATAAAAATTTGCAATCGTGGACATCTGTATCGACGACTTGACTGTTCATTTCGTCATTCTCCACAATGGGATTCTGTTAAAGAAAGACACAAAATAAGGAGACGAAAACAAAACACAGAAAATAACACACACATAAGCTGTAACGAACATAGTTTTTGTATGATTTAATTCTCAGTGTATTTACATATAAAAAAAACTTCTTTTTGGCAGGCACTATTTGCCATTGATATATTTATTCTCTATAGTATATAGCAATGCAAATTTAACATGATAATTTGGATAGAAGGTAGACTAGTTTAATAATAGTAAAATGTTACTTTTTACTTCCAAAAATTTTCATACAAACTTCAAATTCAAATACAGTTCTTTAAAACTATTTAGAAAAAAGTTGAATCTATATTCACGAATCAAAGAAAAGCCAAGGCACATTGTGGAAACTGAATCCTTTCCAAAGAGCAACTATCTACAAAGCAACTTGTTTACTTTACAGTAGGTAGGGCACGATGGATATGTTAATTCTCTATATCCACATTTAGTTGAAGATTTTTTTATGAAATAAAGTATTAGATCACTGAGAGAAGTTCGCGAAAGATAATTTTTGAAGAATGTCAATTCTATCAGTAT